AGTAAAACATTATAGGTCAAAGTACAGCCTTCAACACGGAGCCTTGGCTCCCACCGAACAGCAAGCTATACAGTGCCCCCAAAATTACTAATGTAAAACCATTCAAACAGGGAAACCAACGGTCTAATCTATATAAAAAACGAGCAACGAGAAACACTTATGAACCACATCAACAAACGACAACCACTGAACATCAGGTTCATCACTTAGGACAGGTGCAAACAAATGCAGCGGGTTTAAACGTTTTAATAGGCACCAACCTTCACCCTACCTTAAACAATAGTGTAACATCACAACATAGAAAGACACACTATAAAATATCAATTGAAATGGCTTAACTCAACCAAAAGACATAAAGACGAAGACAAGTGAACATACACTGGACGAATAAATTTGATCTATGACACAATGTAAATACAAAATTAATAAAACAAGGGGGTTAAATGCTTAACAATATCAGAGAGACAACTATAACCAAATAAAATAACGTACGCAGGTAAATAAAAATAATTTTGTTGTAAGGTATACATGGAGTACGGAAATAATTTTTACAAAAAAAATAATTTTGTTGTTCCGAGTACGAGAACAAAAGTGAAAATTTATCGTCAAACTAAACACTTATCAATGGTAGTATATATTAAAAATAGTGAGACTAGATATAACACTGAATAAGTAAACATTAAATAACAAAAATACATTATAAATTGTATCAACAGGTCAAATTAACATGAAAAAAACGATTTGAGAGTACTCGCAGTTACTCAAAGCTAGTTAAAAGCCAAAAACAATTAATAATAAAAATCATGCATCAGAGACTAAAATCAACTAAAAGAGGGGCGAAAGATACCAGAGGGACATTCAAACTCATAAATCGAAAATAAACTGACAACGCCATGGCTTAAAAAAAAGAACAACAATAGTACACAAAACACAACATAGAAAACTAAAGACTAAGCAACACGAACCCAACCAAAAAACTGGGGGTGATCTCAGGTGCTCCGGAAGGGTAAGCAGATCTTGCTCCACATACGGCACCCGTCGTGTTGCTCATGTTAGTACAAACCCGATAAATAGTCTAATTCGGTAGGTCACATTCGCGAAAAGGGAACGGGATTTTAGTTACGACATTCGGAACATATCCGCTATCATCTGTGAAACGGATATTCCATAACGGTCAACCAACTCGTGATGGCATCCGTAAAATTTATGAAGGGATCATTTCAACTTCACCATTTTGAACTCTTGGTTTAATAGCTTCCTTGTGAGCATCAACCCTCTATCAAGGAAATCATAATAGGAAATACAAGCCCGGGAATATCGTATCAATTGGGAGATATATACTCCGTATGCAAGCGCTGGTGGAATGTTGCTACATAGAAATGGAAAGTTCACAATTGGGAAGCTGAAATCATCTCTTTTGTCGTAAAGTTTTGTTTTCAACCGACCCTCATTGTCAATTTCTAGATGTAAGTCAAGATATGAGGCAACTTAACTGTATCTGTTGTATCCTTTATCTCTAGTTCGATGGGATAGATGCGTTCAACATAGTCACCATATTTTGAATTATTTAGTGAGAGAACATCATCTATATAGCGGAAAGTAAAGTTAAAGGATACTGCTAACTTCTTTTCTTTCTTTCTTCCTATGAAGTTCCTGTATGAAGTCAGCCTCCTAAGAACAAAGGAACAAGTCGGCAAGACGAAGGGCACAGTTGGTTCCCATGGGAATGCCGATAGTTTGTTGAAAAACACGTCCTCCGAACAAACAAATATGTTGTCAATCAAGAAATCAAGCATCTTGATAATGTCAGTTTCAGAGAATTTTTTGTTTGAATCAGAGTGATTTAGTGTTTTAACGTCATGGACAGTCAAAGAAGACATGACTTGTGCAATGCCAAAATAAAAGTATCGACATGCAGTAGGATAGTTAGGAGTTAACCTGTTAATAAATATGTATAATGTAATATGTAGATAGAGTAATCTCTATATAGAACATGAACGTGGATGTGTATTTATACATCCCAAAAAAAAACGTTTGAAAAGAATACAAATTGAGTTATGTCTTAATCAACTAAAACACATCCCAGGGATTAAGTGTTGTATACATTCATTAACATAAGGTCGATTTCTATCCGACGCAGCTCAATTATTATGATAAGTGCACTTGAAAGATTACTAGATAACATTTTTGTTCGCTATGGAGTTCCATATAATCGCCAAGTTATCTGAATTTCAATGGGGACTTACTGTGCACCACTTATTGCGAACCTGTTTCTGTATTGTAACGAATCACAATTCTTGTCTAAAATCAGCAAAGATCTACCAAAACAACATCTGATACAAACATTTGATAACACTTTTAGATCTTTGGATGATATGTTGGCTCTCAATAATGACGACTTCAGTATGTACACTAAAGAGAATTATCCTGTTGAACTTACTTAAAATAAAGTTATATATACTAACATTGAACACTGCCCTATCCTGGATCTTGATCATGATCTAGATCTCTAACGGGAAGCTTGATACTGAAATATACGATAAAAGGGATGACTCTTTTAATTACCTATTGTTAATAATCCGTTTTTAGATGGTGACGTTCCTTGGCATCATCGTATGGTGTATATATATCTCAACTTGTTCGATTCGCTCGTGTATGTAACAACGTATTTGATTTTAACGAAAGAAATCTCTGTATTACTGATAAATTATTACACCAGGGTTTTCGATATCACAAACTTGTCTAAACTTTTACTAAATTTTACCAATATAATACTTCCATGGTGTCAGGTACAACTCCAGTTATCAGTAAAATCCAAAAATTAGCCTTGGGAACATTTTTTAATATTTAAATACAGATGGACTCTCTGGAAAGAAATGATGCAGAAAGAAAAAAATACTTGTCAACAGCCGTATATATAAAAGACAGTTGATTCACAAAAATCCGATCATTATAAGTTAAATAAGGCTTAACTTCAATCAGAGACAAATCTGTTATAACACCCATCAAAATTAAAATGGAAAAGTTCTGTCAGGAATTAAGCAATTGATACCTTTTGGATTAACATGTTGTTACCACTTCTGTCTACTACAAAAGTATTTCATTTAATTATATCAACATCTTATTATAATTTAAAAACTGGTCGTTTGCACAGTGCTATTGTCTCCCCATCAACCATCAACTCCTTACTGGTATATATTCTCTAATGTTATTGGACAGCCTTCAACGGACACTTCAACCAAGTTGACGTCAACCCAACCTGTCTCTTATGCAAAGGGGAATCAGAACCAATAGGTCATATTATTCATTCACGTGCTGCTTTTGCCTCTGCTATGAACTCTCACATGTTGGAACTCTGACAAAATATAATAATAGCGTGTTCTGCGCAAAATGTCGAATAGTAGAACAATTAGAAATTGGGGTCTGTAGAAATATGAGGGGGTGGACAACTTTTGAGGGAGGTGGGAGGTGGGGGCGGGAGGTGGGAGACAAAAATAGGTGGGAGAGAAAAAAAGATTCTAAAAGTGGGAGGTGGGAGATAGGGGCGGGAGGTGGGAGAAGGGTATCCCCTGTCCACCCCTCAAATATGTACGAGTCTGGTAGAGTCTGGTGACCTAAAATTGATTTATTTGTGTTAATAATAATAACATATTGTTTAAAAAGTGTTATTTTATTAATAAGAGTCTTTTTAAGTCAATTAATGGACGGAAAAAAGTTGTTTTCTAAAACATATAACCACTGAACATCGGACTTCACGATCTCAAGTAATGACGACCCTTGAGACTGGTACAGTGTATTGCTTAAAACAATTTGACTTTTGTATGTTGACTTATGTTGCCAGTTGCACCAAAGTTGTCTAATACACGAGTTCGGTCAATTTCTTTATCCGTATGAATGTACATCGTAATCAACTCTGATTTTCCATCATATATATAGTTCTTCAGTTCACTAATATGAAATTTAGAAGATGTGGTATGAATGCCAATGAGGTAGCTACCCGCCAGATATCAAATGACGTAGACCTATAGGTCACCATCAGTCATATTGTTCAGAAGACCAAAAATCATCCGTGACAAATAAGTAACAGATTTATTAACAAAGCAACATCCTGGTTAAAATAATATTGGAAAAGAATTGTTTATGTTGTAAATGTTGTAAAGCTGCCAATACTATAGCAGTCCCTTCATCCGCCCCTTTACATAACAAAGTTATACCATCTACGCAAATTCCAACTGTAACTTGAACGGAGAACTCAGTTTGTGTATACGCCATACTTTAGAACCTGATGATCTAAATGAAAAAGACAAAAATAAGTACACTGAGGAAAGATTAAGGTTATTATGTGGCATCGTCCGTATCATCTCTGAGAGTGTATTATTGGCCAATGGATGCAGCAAACTTGCCTTACTTCAACAACAGATTTCGCATACCAAACAAAAAATCTTGAACGTCATACAACTTTTTTACGCAGCACAATTACATCTTATTGACCAAAATGGTACAATGAACTGCAAAAACTTCTTATCTGCATCCGATTTCACTTGTAGAGACGCAAGACTGATGAAGCTAGTGTGTCTAGACGCAAGACTGATGAAGCTAGTGTGTCTAGCGAAATATTGCGGGTTTTTTTTTTATCGCAATTGTAAATATGATAGAAAATCTCAGTTACTTTGTTGAAAAACGTGTGTCTGATCCATTTTTTTAAAAATAATCTTTTCAACTCCCTCAGATAATGTTGACCATAGATGAATTTTGGCTATTTGTATGTATGGTCATACAGTCCCTTGCGTTTATATACAGCCAGTCAATATGAATTTATATTCATGACATATATGTCTCTGGTACAGCTTATTGTTCAATCAAGTTTGTACACAATGATTCCTACATTCCGCATATTGTTGGTAAGAATATTCATTTTTACCGTAAATACGGTAAATACATAAAGTTTTTAAAAAAATGCGGGAAAATTATAAAGTGTCAAAATGACTCGGATTGCATTTATCACGTGATAGGCAAAATGGCGACAACACCTAAAGAGAGATTTGACGCTGCAGTCAAAGTTATTCATGGATTGCCAAAGGAGGGTGAGGAAAAAGGCTTCGCAACTTATTTAGTAATGAAAACAAACGTTTAAATGATTATTAAGTTATAATCATACATTAATTCATGTTGTAAAAACAAAATTGGACATGCATACTTTTATGTTGTACTCTGTTTTGTCAGATTAAAATCTGATGAAAACCGAACGTTTAAAAGGTTATTAAAACTAGAACATAGCCCCAAGTCGGGTAATTTTGTTCCTCTGGAAAGTTCTTTCGTCCAGTTAGTCATATTTCCTTAACATTGAATGAACGCACATAAGAGACAAAATAAATTACTATTCGAGCCTGACAAAAGTGACATGAAAAATATGAAACAATTTAATTGAGAAAACAACCTAAATTTTTTATAACAATACAATATTGAAAAACAAATATAACAGACATGAACTAACGACAAACACTAAACTACAGGCTCCTAACTTCAATGAACTTGGGACAGTGTCTGAATGTAGTGGGGTGAAATTAGTTTGCTGAAGCCAAACCCTCCCCCTAACCTGGGACAGTGGTGTATCAGTATAACTTAAGAACATATCATAAAAATCAATTGAAAAGGGCTCAACTCATCAGATAGATACAAAGCAGAAAACATCTAACGATAACACAGACCTGTCGTGGCATTATTAAAAAAAACTTTAATTTCGTTATTAATCGGCAAGAGACAAATAATACAACAATCGGTGAGATCAAAGACATCATAATTATACCTAATCAGCATTCTACAAGTAGGGCGAATGAACCCAGGGCAAACAGACTTTATGGGCGACCAAACCCAGCAGGGTTCTCGTTAAGACGCGTATATGCGTCTTGGACGCATGAAAATTGAGCTGGACGCATCATTTTTGAAACCACATCGTTTGCCAAACAAATTCACGATTGCCGTCATTGTTTTGACAGGAAATTAAACCAGAATTCGATGTTAAAAAATTTATGTAATGCGTAGATCAATATTTTTGTTGACTGATAACTATTTTTTTTTAAATAAAACATATTTCATCCTAAAATATAATAATTCTGTTCGAACTGATTAATAAATATGTAATAGTAACCAATTTATAAAAATTTTACAAGTATTTGAAAAGCTTGAATATTTCCACATGTTGAACATCAGGTATTTATTGATTGAACCAAAGAAAGTAAAACATTTTGAGAACTTGAAATGAAATGATATAATATTTCATAACTGTAGCTACTACGCATAGAACAGATCGTTGAACAAAGTTGATTTGAAATTTTACGGAGAAGAATAATTTTACTGGTCTTAGAATGATTTAAAATTTTTCTCTTATTGCATGTTGAACATCCCTATCGTAAACAAAGGTGAAAAATGTTTTGAAATTGAAACAAATCTGGTTAAAAATGATAAAGAATTATTACTATTTAGCCAAGCTCATTATTATGGACAGTGTTCACTTTAGATTTGCATGTTTTTATACGACCGCAAAATTTTTTGCGGTCGTATATTGGTATGATGTTGTCGTCGTCAGAAGACACATTGGTTTTCACACTCTAACTTTAGTTTAAGTGAATGGATCTTTATGAAATTTTACCATAAGGTTCAATACCACAAAAGGAAGGTGGGGATTAATTTTGGGGGTTATGGTACCAACTGTTAAGGAATTAGGGGCCAAAAATAAGCGTTTTTATTGTAACTTCCAGACATAACTTGTGTGTTAGTGTATGGATCTCTCTGACATTGTACAGTACACACAGAGAGGATGTAATCTCATACTCCCTACACTGTGTAAAAACTTGGTGTCACACCAAGAAACTCCAGCAACTCTCTCCAAATCTTGGGAGGAAATTGGGAGAAACTTGGAGTAATTCCTCCCTAAAACTCCTTAATTGTTTATTACCTTGGTGTGGTTTCTCCCAACAACATGATTTTTATTGCTATGATTACCTTTGAAGTGTGCCAGTAGTTGATGACTACAATAAACATTTCTTGTGTTTCCTGTCATTAAATGACAGTCACAGTAATGATGAAAAGTGTGAGATTTGTTAAATTTAATCAGAGACATATTATAATCTGATTTTATTTAAGAATCCTGTACAACTTTATTTATTAAAATTATATTCAGCATTTGTTCTGACAGTGTTGGTTTTTCATACCTAAGAAACATACAAAAACAAACAAAACATCACCTGTAAGTGGAGTATTATTAATAGAAAATAAAGACATATATTTTAATTGAATTTATTCAATCGTTTTTTCTAAATTTAAATGATAAGAAATAAAGGAAGATTATATAAATATAATATATATATGTAATTTATCTACATTATTTTATTTTATTCATTATTTTTTTTTTGTATCAATACTATTATTTTTTAAACCATGTATATACTAATATCTTTATGTTTAAACTGACTAAATACAACTTATTGTAAATATCAAGTTGCCATTCTTGATTATGAGATTATGAAAGAATGTAAATAATTTTCCAATCTAAAAATTCATATTTGTATAAAAATTTTAAAAATCATTTCGTTAACCTTTTTTTATAGCTTTCAGAAATAAAACTAAATAGGAAATGATTGAAATAGGAAGAAGTGAGAGAATAGTTGACCTGTAATTATGTCACTGTCAGACCATGCAGTCGTGCTTTGTTGATTTTTATTACTCTTACCTGCAATCAACAGGTCATAAAACCCTCCCAGATGGGAGTAATTACTTGGTGTTTTTTGGGAGAGAAATCGGTGTTTCACAGTATGACACTGTGTTACACCAGAATCAGTGTTGGGAGTATGAGATTACATCCTCTCTGTGTGTACTGTACCACAAGATTCCATATCACAAAGGGAATGCTGGGATTGATTTTGGGGGTAATTGCCTCCAAATTTTAGGAATTAGGGGCCTAAAAGGGGCAAAAAAAACAAGCATTTTTCTAGTTTCAGGCCAATAACTTGTGTATTAGTGTATGGATCTCTCTGACATTGTACCACAAGGTTCCATATCACAAAGGGAATGCTGGGATTGATTTTTAAGGGTAATTGCCTCCAAATTTTAGGAATTAGTGGCCAAAAAGGGGCAAAAAACAAGCAGTTTTCTAGTTTCATGACAATAACTTGTGTGTAAGTGTATGGATCTTTATGTAATTGTACTACAAGGTTCCATATCACAAAGGGAAAGCTGGGTTTGAGATTGGGGGTAATTGCCCTAAACGTTTAGGAATTTGGGGCCAAAAAGGGGCCAAAAAAACCAAGCATTTTTCTAGTTTCCAGACAATAACTTGTGTTCAAGTGTATGGATCTCTCTGAAATTGTACTGCAAGGTACCATACCACAAAGGGAAGGCTGGGATTGAGTTTGGGGGTGATGAATCATAAGGGGGTTCAAAAAATTTGGGGGGGGGATTTTTTTTCCCTTTTTTTTCTTTAAATTTTCCATTTTAAATTGTTTATTTCTGATTTATATATATAAAAGCAAATAATAATGATATGGTTTGAATAGGTAAATTAAAATTTTTTAAGTTCTTAGACCACATTCATTTTGTGTCAGAAACCTATGCTGTGTCAAATAATTACAATCCAAATTCAGTGCTGTATCAAGCTTGAATGTTGTGTCCATACTTGCCCCAACTGTTCAGCGGAGCATTTAATTATAATCATGGAATGGATGTTTCTCTTTTTATTGTGTAAAAAAAAATAAGACCAATGTATCAAGGGGCTTGTAACTAAGAATAAATTTTTTTATTGCCCTGTATATTTAACCTGTAAATGGCTGTTTTTGGCCATGGGGCTCTGTTCAGACATTGGTCTACTATCTACCTCCTTTTAGGATTGCCTTTTGATATTGATAAAAATTATGACTTGAAGAGGAATAGTTGTAGGGTACCATAGGGTTTTTTCAATAATTTAATTTTTCAGTTGTTATTCTGGTGTCCAAAGTTGGATTGATTGATTGACTGGTGTTTAACACCACTTTCAGTACTGTTGTGCTATTTTGTGATCATGTGTTCGCGATATAATAAAAACTATCGATCAAATACGCATCATTATAGTTTTATTTCATCACATTTCATCATATTAAGACACAAAAAATTACGTGCATCCTGGACTCATCAAAATCTATTGGGACTCACCATTTCTAAAAGTGATGAGTTCCAGGATTCACCATGAAAAATTCCTAAGTGAGAACCCTGAAACCCAGGGTGAACAGACTAAGGGCGAACATGTTATATATATATGATTAGGGCAAATTGACAAAGAAGGATATTTATCTGATTTCTTGTGAAAAATAAAAGACAGCACTTTTTATTTGATAATTTAATAACAAGAATGACAAGAAGATAGCATTCGTAAATCCTTGCATGCTTTGATTTGTCATTCAGACCACTATGGTCAATGTTCTGGTCTCTATCAGTCTATATTGCAGACTTCACAAAAGGCATATGATATACCTATCATTGAATTTGTCAATCAGACCCCCTTTTCTTTTTAAGCAGTCTTAGCTGCATAAGAACCTTCTTGCAGATGAAAATTTGTCTACCATGATCACAATTTTTACAATTCTGACATACAGAGTAATAAAAAAGTTCACACAAGTACAAATTTTTCCAATGTTTCAATGTCCCATAATCATGAGAAACATCTATTTTGGTTGGCTTATATACGTAATCACAAGAAACAACGATTTTGATAGGCTGATCACGATTGTCTCCCTTGGAGAAAGTTCAAAATCTGAATCCAACAAATTTTTCGTGTATAATTTAAATCCACCAAACTGTGTTTTAGACAGGACAAGGGGTCAAAATCGTGTAGTTCACGACTAAATCGTGAAAGTTGGCAGGTTTCATCTGACCTTAACCTCATTTACATTGTTCATTAAAAGGAATTAAAGCCAATGGAACTTACATATAAAGTTTGTTGCAGATTTGGTAAAATTAACACATCACTACAGTGTTCTCCTCAGAAATTTTTTTTATCATCCTGGTAAACAGGGAATTATGAAATACCTTCTTGTTTCTAGAAAATATACCACCACATTCAGAACACTATCTAGGAGAAACTAATTTCAGATAGCATCACATTACCATGATGCTAAAAGGCCCTGGGGAGAACACTGCACTAAATTCTGAAAAAATTATTAATCATCATGATCCTTATTTTTAAAATTTTGTTTTTCAAACACAGTCAATTGTAAATAATGTTGTGTGTATCATGAATTCAAGCCGCCATATAAAAATAAGGAGATGTCGTATGATTGCCAATGAGACAACTATCCACCAAAGTTCAAATGAAGTTGATGTAAGCAATTATAGGCAACCATACGGCCTTCAACAATGAGAAAAACCCATACCGTATGGTCGGCTATAAAAGGTCCAGACATGAAAAATATTGAGAAAACTAACGCCCTTATTCATAACAAACCAATTTACAAAACAAATATGACAGACATGAACCAACGAAAACCACTGAACTACAGGCTCCTGACTTGGGACAGGCACATAAAGAAAGTGGCAGGGTTAAACATGTTTGTGAGCGCTCAACCCTCCCCCTAACCTGGGCAGGGGTGTAACAGTACAACATAAGAACAAACTATAAAAATCAGTTGAAAAAGGCTTAACTCATTAGATGGATACAAATAGAAATACATCTAACAAAAACACAGAGTGGACGTGGATGGGTACTTGTACATCCCAAAAATGAAAAGACACTAAGTATAGATCTGAGAGTACTTGCAGTTACTGACAGCTAGTTCAAAGCCAATAACAACTAATGAAAAAAATTATGTATCTAAGACTGAAATATCAATCAGTACACATCCAACATCCAATGGATTTAGTGTAAAGATGTCATTAACAGTCAGAGAAAAACATGACCTTGTGCAATGCCAAACTGTAAGTATCGACAGATTGTAGTACTGTGAGAGTGCATATGTGATATATTTAGTATGGTTTTAATTTACTGATAACAAAATCAATATTTATGCCAATAAAAACAATATTCAAAGATTTAATTACAGGGTTGAATAGGTAACCTTTTAGAATAAGTTTATTTAAAGGATTGATAAGTTTACCCGCATCGAACCTAGATTTCTGGGCTCGGTTTACAACATCACCGTAAAATTTAGGATGTGCTATTCCATTTGAAATAAGTTTTTCTACAGGTACAGCCAAACTTGCAGACCAAATCTTTGTATCTATGAAAGAATTTAGTAAAGGTTTTAAGTAATTTGTGGTAACGAAATCCCTGTCTTATGTTCTTTTGTTACAATAGTTACAAAAGTAGTTGTAAACATGGTCTATTGAAATATAAACTGCCAAAAAATATTCAAACAGAATCACTTGTAACCAATCATTGTAAAGGATTCCTACTATTGAAATTATATGAGAATTATAATTTATCTTGTAGATTTGTATGTCCCATCCAACATTCAATTGTATAAAAATTATATATTAACAATTTATATTTTATCTTGTAGGGCCCTTCCAGCCTTCATATGAAATAATGTTAGCATTTTATGGGTTGTATAAACAGGCCACAGAGGGAACGTGTACAAAACCAAAGCCATGGAGCTGGGACATAGTAGCTAAGAAAAAATGGTTGGTACACTGTACAGTAACAATAATATTTTGATATAGTAATTATTTATCAATGAATGAAAGGAGATATGGGGTACCAGTATTCTCAAATGGGACAGCAAATTTAAACCAACAACAAAAGGAAGCAAAACATTAAGAGATCAGCATATAGTTTTGTTTTACGTTGGAAAAAAAAATATTGGAACTAAGGAATCAAACATTAAATACCAGTGAAAATCACAAAGTTTAGGTTGTAGTTAATTAACAATTACATGAAGGTCATTTTTAGTGTGGAAGACTGCATGTTAACAGACCTCTAGATGTCTTGTAATTTTTTTGTCATTGCTGTTTTGGTGGCAGCTGCTTCTTTTGCATATACTGAATATCACCTTATATTCATTCTCTAAATATCTATATGGTGAAAAGCAAATATAAAATGCCATAATAAAAGTTATATCATCCCAAGATTATATTTTAAATGTACACAGAAGTTATTTGCAAAATTATAACAAAAAAAAAAAAATTTCACTGTAGAAAATATTGCATCTAAGCGAAAATAGTAATGTGTGTATTTACATTCTACAATTTCAAACAAATAACAAATAATTAAACAGAAATCCTACCTATTCCCTGCTGTAGATGGTCCATGATCATTGTACTAGATATTAGATACTATCGAGTCCAAATATTTTTAGCCGCCAGGATACTTAAGACACATTAAAATTACTTTAAATTTAACAAGGATATGTTAGCTTCATTGGATTTGAGAGAGTTGGTTCTTGACATTAAGCATGTAAAAAATAAAAATACAAGTCCTTTAGAACTACAAGATTACATTTAAAGAATTACTTTATGCTGTGATTGCATTTTAAAGATATAACTATGATACAACACACATCTTTATCTTTTTAATAGGGATGCATGGAACAAGCTTGGTAATTTACCAAGTGAACAAGCCATGGATCTTTATGTTGAAGAACTTAAGAAGGTATTTGGTAATTGATGTGCTTAAAAGTTGAATACCATGATATAGTTAATATCTTCTCTAATTCTTAGCAAATATGATACATTTCCTGAATGATTAATTATTTTTTATAATCAACATTTACTTGCTTTCCTCTGATTTCACTTTTGTGACTCACGAAATAATGTATATGCCCAGGGGATGTAACTTTTGCACAAATCTCTTCAATTCAAGGGGAGATGATTTTAAAAATTGATATTTTTACCAAAAAACAGTTTTACACTATTATTTAGATATGAAAACAGGAATGGGTACCCCAATTGACCTCAACTCATCAAGTCTTTTTCGAATTGTAAAACAAAATGCAAAGAAAAACAATTTTTTGGATTATGAAAAACACACAAATTACAATTCATCAGATTTTTCTTATACATTGCATTGCAAAATTATTGTGAAGAAAATCTGATAATCAGTACATTGATAATTTACAAAAGGAAATAGTTTCGTCCTGTGAAGAATATTATTGTCATTCAGCAATGACAGGAAACTCTTGAGTCTGCCTGTCTGAGTAAGTCCTGTTAATTTGAATACTGTCAGTAAGTTGTATACTGATATTTCCTGTATCATGGTTATCAGCATATATCTTTAATGTTTTATAACTGTACATTGTATGGCATGTTGATGTGAATCATGTCATCCAGTTTTCACTTCCATTCTTTTATTTTGTTATATATAGTTTCAGCATTTGATTTCACAATAGCATTTGTGTATTATTTATGGTGTTAAATTTATTGTTAGTGCAGCCTTGATAATTTATGATACATAGGTTTCTTGAAATCTGAACAATGTAAATTATATTTAACATGAATTTTTAATAAGAAGGGGAAAATGGGTGAATAATCATGAGACGAAAAATGTAAAAAATATAATGGGGAAACATCCTTTTAATAATAAATCTTTTTGTCAAAGTGTAAATGAACATTTTTTTTAGATTTTTTTTTACCTTTTCAGAGTATTGCCTTGTCCACAGACAAGTGGAACACAATGGGTGACAAGGATAAAAGGGTACGGATGTTTTCTGAAACCTAGCACTAACATATTTATCACCAAAAACATCTTTACCACTCTGTCTCATTAAGTAGAAAAATATATTCTACTACCAATGCATATTCAACATTTTATTTCATATTGAAAACATTTTTGCTTGTATTTGTTTACTGAGCTAGTATTGTAAAAGCCATGTCCATGAGTACTGAGGTAATTGAGTAGGTGTAGAGTAACTAGACAGGATCACAAGGAATAGTGGAGGGAGGTTTTTTGTTTCAGAACAGAACATGTATTGCAAATACTGCTTACACAATCTAGTGGACTATTTTTGATACCCATAGTGTAAGGGTGTTTGTAAGATGCAGATATGAAATTGATTGTTAAAATGAATGCAAAGTAATGAAGAACTGTAACAAGAGTATTAAAGGTGCCAATTTTACTGCACTGGAGGCTCATTTTGACCATCAAAAACTGTATACAAATGTTGAAGAGCTGATGAAACCATAAAGGACCAAAAGTAATATTGTAGCGGGCTGAGGGTTCTGACTTCCGGTGACGGACGACTTTATACTTAGCGTTATGTGTCTGATAATTTTATATACCTGAAAGAGGTCGTAGGTTGCGTACTTAGAGGATTGCTACATGAATTTGTGAGTGTAGCACCCCACGAATCTGTAATCAGTATCGAGATTGAGTCTTGTAGGGCATTTATAGAATCATACTGAATTAAGTTAATGATTTATTAACCACAACACTGTAGTTTATACAGGTTGAACAATATATTAATAAGTATAGTATACACAATTAAAAACAATATTGGCTGCTCTCGTAATATCATGTGATCCTAAAACACGAGATAAAAATAGATATTAATAAACGGCTTTACTGGCATTCGTGGTAGTTACAAGTTGTTAGCTCTGGTATCAATATATGGGAATTACATGTGTATTAATATAAATAGAATACAATAACACGTGTCGTACATTTAAGTGATCTTTTATGTGTTTGTGAAATAGCCCGCTGGCCTTCAATAATTTCTAGTAAAGGTATCCAATCAGATTGTTTGTGATATAGAGTAAATATTCTTGTGTTATAGTAAATTTAAGTTCGATATCTGGTCTCTATTTAAAATATCGGGTCTTTATTTCCCAAAAGGAATTAACGTACGTATCTTCTTATGGTTGACACTCTAGCTGTGTCGAGACCGTGTCGTGTCGGTACACAGTCAAGATAATATATTATATTTAATAAAAGCCAACTGCTTTCTTTATGAGGATAAATTAATACTTATTGATAAAATGAATCGAAATTACTTTCGACAATAATATTAATTGTGCCCACCTTAACGACAATATGACAATATTAATTTGCAAATGCTTGTGAGACTTTCAAATTTTGAATATGGCGCCCAGCAAAGACAAGACTGAAACCGAGAGAAGCGAACTTCCGTATTTATAATCAGTACGACACAGTGCGACACAAAGTTCAATAAAGACATAACGCAAATAGCATGACGTCTGTGACGTCATGCCACCTGTGCTAACCCAAGATGCAGTACAATAACGTCAACAATAATGCCTGACGACAATATCATAACACAGAGCGCGCATGCAACATTTACGCTGCACATACCTTTTAAAGCTCTAAAAATACATGGTAACTACCACGAAAACGCCAGCAAATTATCTAGGGAAGGTAAGAAAAACATTTCATAATAATTCAATACGCACATAACTATAATTAAGTGACATTTTAGAGTGTTGCTTCACACCAATCACGGTGACATTTCACCGGTAATAACGTACAGTATTTTGGTATTTATACAATTCATCTCCATTCCCAAACACTTGACTTCCATCCACAAGTTAAAAACTTTATCATACATGATGGGATAATTGTCCCTCCCGAAATTTAATCTCCCCAGGCACAGACCCCGGCCGTTACAATATTAAACTCCGCCAAAGATCAGTAGAGTACTTTTTTCAAAGGCATCTGTTCTTTTTTTTGTCTCCATTCTGAAAGAAGAATACACATCAAGACACATTCTTAGCTTTCAAGCATTGTCTTTTTCAATCCTTTTTATGTTTTCTTAAGGACCACTTGTTATATGTACTTTGAAGATGCATACATTTCAGTTACAAGTAGAGTAATATGGGCCTAGTCCCTCTCAGTCATGTTTGTGTAAATATTTGAAATTTTTACAAAATTCAGATGGTAAAGTTTCATAGTGTTTTAAAGGTTCAGTTCTAAAATCTATTAATGAGAAACCATCTCTCATATGTTTGAACATTACATCAAACTTGTTTATTAATTTTGAAATAATATTATTATTGATCAATACCATTGTTTTAGGAGTCATTATATAGACTTTCATGTGATTGACTATTGATAATTGGTAGGCTGTTGCATTTGCATACATTGTACTGGGTTTGCAGCATTATATTATATTAGGCCCTGTCTGTTTAATGTTGCTAAATGATTTGAGTTTTTACATGAATCAAAATTGATGATCACTGATTAGATGTGTTTATGATGAAGAACTTTTTTTTAATCCTTAACCCAGATTTTCATATATATTGTTTCAAATTACTGCAGCTGATCCATTTTTACAGAATGCTGTTTCCATAGAATTAACTGAATTACATTCTGGTTACCAATTTTTAAAAGCTTTTTTTTTATTTTGAATAGATTGTTGAAGCCATGCCACAAGAAAAGCCTGTTAGAGATTTTATGGAGACCATTGGAACATTTTATGAATTAATAGATGAGAGGTCGCCATTTGAGGATGAAAAGCGTTCCTATGATCTTGCTAATGGTGATACAAATAGTAATGTGATACAGGAAGATATAAGTATGTTAATTACATATTCTAAATGCAATCTTTATGTAAAAAAAAAAATCATAGGCTAAGATTAACTGACAAATCCACAATTGACAGGTTTGGTCTGCCATTTTGAATTGTATTATCCACAAATATTTGATTAATGCAATATAAATGAAAATAAAACAACACCTACTTCAAACATGCTGTTTTAATGAGATATTATCTAAATCGGAATGGTACAAGTATCGAAATAAACTTTGGTTTGAGCGTTTTCATTTGTATGGTGTCATGTTTTGCCCTGATGATTATGCACCAAAATCATTTATGAAGATTCGCAGAATTTTATTTCATCTTAAATTTACACATTTGTAAGCACTATTGTACTATTTTTTATACGACCGCAAAAAAATTTTGTGGTCGTATATTGGTATGACGTTGGCGTCGTCGTCGTCCGGCGTCGTCGTCCGAAGACATACTGGTTTTTGCACTCTAACTTTAGTTTAAGTGAATGGATCTTTTTGAAATTTGACCATAAGGTTAAATACCACAAAAGGAAGGTTGGGATTGATTTTGGGGGTTATGGTACCAACAGTTAAGGAATTAGGGGCCAAAAAGGGGCCAAAAATAAGCATTTTCTAGTTTCCAGACAATAACTGTGGAACGGTGTATGGATCTCTCTGAAATTATACTACAAGTTTCCATACCACAAAGGGATGGTTAGGATTTGCTTTGGGGGGTTATGGCTCAAACCGTTTAGGAATTAGGGGCAAAAAAGGGGGAAAAACAAGGTTGTCCTGGTTAATGGCAATACTTTTGTACAAAACATAATTTAAAGCAGTGTAAGGGAGATAAATCAAATACATCATTGAGATTATCTCCCTTACACTGCTTTTAAATTATGTATAAAGTAATGGTTAATGAACAATAAAGATAATTTAAAACAGTGTAAGGGAGGTAATCAAAATACAACGTTTTGGTTACTTCCCTTACACTGCTTTTAAATTATGTTTAAAGAAATGCATATCTATAAAGGAAGACCAGTAAAAATATCTGCAAATCTTGCATCTTTTTTTTTTACAAAAAAATCCATATGAAAGATTTGACAGTATATTTTTAATTCTATTATAAAATAGATTAAGTTAGCACTATGGTAAATTTAAATGGGTAATTATGGTTGCCAACTCCATTGGAAATTTGAATTGAGATTATGACCATATCTTGAGGGAAGGAATTTTTTTGGGGAAAAAAGGGGGGGATAAAAAGAAATTGTGGGGGGTCAATTTTTTCTCATTTCAGATTTCAGAAATTAAAAAGAATTATTCTTCAAATATTATTTTTTTTTCAAATTTCAAATATTGAAAAATTTCAAGAAGTAATCTTTAATTGCACAGTATGGCGCATTAGATTTGTAAAATCTTTGATCACATTTATTTATTTGTTATGCCGATTCTAACAGTATATTTAAATTTTTAATTTTGGGTCCAGTTTTCAAATTGGTCTACATTAAGGTCCAAAGGGTCCAAAATTAAACTTTGTTTGATTTCAACAAAAATTGAATATGTGGGGTTCTTTGATATGCTGAATCTAACCATGTATTTGGATTTTTTATTTGTGGACCCCGTTATCAAATTGGTTCATATTGAGGTCAAAAGGGTCCAAAATTAAACTTTGTTTGATTTCATCTAAAATTGAAGTATTGGGGTTCTTTGATATTCCAAATCTAACCGTGTATTTAGATTTTTAATTTTTGGTCCTGTTTTTTAAATTTGTCTACATTAAGGTCCAAAGGGTCCAAAATTAAACTTAGTTTGATTTAAACTAGAATTGAATTCTTGGGGTTCTTTGATATGCTGAATCTAAACATGTGTTTAGATTTTTGATTATGGGCCCAGTTTTCAAGTTGGTCCAAATTGGGGTCCAAAATTAAACTTTGTTTGATTTCAACAAAAATTGAATATATGAGGTTCTTTGATATGCTGAATCTAACCATGTATTTAGATTTTTGATTATGGGCCCAGTTTTCAAGTTGGTCCAAATTGGGGTCCAAAATGAAACTTTGTTTGATTTCAACAAAAATTGAATATACGAGGCTCTTTGGTATGCTGAATCTAACCATGTATTTAGATTTTTTATTTGTGGGCCCCGCTATCAAATTGGTTCATATTGAGGTCAAAAGGGTCCAAAATTAAACTTTGTTTGATTTCATCAAAAATTGAATTATTGGGGTTCTTTGATATGCCAAATCTAACCGTGTTTTTAGATTTTTAATTTGGGTCCCGTTTTTAAATTGGTCTTCATTGAGGTCCAAAGGGTCCAAAATTAAACTTAGTTTGATTTTAACAAAAATTGAATTCTTGGGGTTCTTTGATATGCTTAATCTAAACATGTGTTTAGATTTTTGATTATGGGCCCAGTTTTCAAGTTGGTCCAAGTTGGGGTCCAAAATTAAACTTTGTTTTGATTTCAACAAAAATTGAATATATGGGGTTCTTTGATATGCTGAATATAACCATGAATTTAGATTTTTTATTTGTGGGCCCCGCTATCAAATTGGTTCATATTGAGGTCAAAAGGGTCCAAAATTAAACTTTGTTTGATTTCATCAAAAATTGAATTATTGGGGTTCTTTGATATTCCAAATCTAACCGTGTATTTAGATTTTTAATTTCAAGTCCCGTTTTTTAAATTGGTCTACATTAAGGTCCAAAGGGTCCAAAATTAAACTTAGTTTGATTTTAGCAAAAATTGAATTCTTGGGGTTCTTTGATATGCTGAATCTAAACATGTGTTTAGATTTTTGATTATGGGCCCAGTTTTCAAGTTTGTCCAAGTTGGGGTCCAAAATTAAACTTTGTTTGATTTTAACAAAAATTGAATATATGGGGTTCTTTGATATGCTGAATCTAACCATGTATTTTGATTTTGGACATTGGACCATAATAGGTAAATTAAAAAAATTCAAGTTCTTAGACCACATTCTTTCTGTGTCAGAAACCTATGCTGTGTCAAATATTTAATAACAATCCAAATTCAGAGCTGTATCAAGCTTGAATGTTGTGTCCATACTTGCCCCAACTGTTCAGGGTTCGACCTCTGCGGTCGTATCAAGCTGCGCCCCAGCGAAGCATTTTATTTGTGTGGTGCATTAGAAAAGTACTATAATTGAAGAATTGCCACGGTCAATTGCTATATAATGGTGGCAACTCTTCATCTACAGTAATGTTAGTCCTTAAATATCATTCTAGATAATTATATAAGGTCACATTTAAAAATGCGCAATGGAAAATATTACTGTAGATTTATTTAATTTGGTTGTATTAATTTTTTCGTGGTCAGAGCAAAATTTCCTTCAAGGGGATACCTTATGTTTGCTGTATAAAATATTAAGAGATTTTTATAAACATAAGGTCATTATCGGGAAAGTCACTGGGTTCTTTTATGGGCAACCCAAACAAGTGAGCTTTAAAACACTTCAGGGACATCTATTTAGAAATTGTTATGATTTATGTTGGAAATGGCAAGGTGTAAATATGTTTTGAACTGTTCTTAAATAGGATATCATTGATATATAGAAATTATTATTCATGACCATCAACTAGCCATAGTGTTGTGTATTTAGGTTAAGAAACACACTGTCAATTGAGAAACTTTTTGCACTGTTTTTTTATTATTTCGAAATTTGCATCATGATAGGTTTTCCTAAAATAGAAACTTGTATTTTTAAATTTTGATAGCATTATTTGTACACAGCATTTTCTGAAATTTCAATAACTATTTGTTTAACAACGGCAATTATAAATGCATGTAAAAATTTGTGAAAATATATAGTATTGTAATTATTTTAAAAGATTCACTTGACATGATAAAGGCTCCGGCTTCCTCCACTAATAAAAACAGACTGCCACCAAATAGCACAATAGTGTTGAAAGTGGCATTAAACATCAATCAATCAATCAATGTCATGATTAAGGTGACAAATTAAAATTCCTGTCATTATCTAACTTTGGGAAACCTTAAAATCATAATCATTGTTCAGAATATTTTGAATGCTTTTGAATAAAATAATTGTAAATGAGGGTCTGGATATATAAGGTTTACAGAAAAGAGAATAATGGGCCAAGAGTAAAGAAAAATAGGCAAAAAAAGACAAAGAATAGAAAATAATTGGATGCTTAAATATAAAGAATAGAGAGTAATGGCCATAACAAATAAAGAATAGAGAAAAATGGCCTGAAAACTTAAGGAATATAGAAATGGAGACCCACCCATCACGATACTCATAAATTACATTTTAAAAAATCTGGATTGCACTAGACCCATCTCTTTAACAAGTATTTTAAGTTGTAAAATGTGGGATAATAGAAATGGTAAATATGTTGCTGTCCCAGTCAATTACTTATTGCAATATATATGCTACACAACCCCTTCTGAAAGTTATATCTACAAGGCCATGAATAAATAGGCGTCACTTGGGAAATATATGTTACCCCTTTGTCTGTTGATAAAACCCCACCTTTTTTTTTTTTATTTTAAAGGAAATGGAAATGAAAATTCAATGAATCACTCCATGCTGGTTGATCCTCTTCTGAAGAATCTTGTCAAACAAGACATCAAGATGAATGGAATGCCGCGAGGTTTTCAAGACAAGGAATTTGATGATGAAAAACCAACAGAATCAGCTCTCTCTATTTTAGATTCTGGTACATGTATTTATAACTTGAAATTAAACCCTGTGCACCAAAGTTGAGGAGGGTATTATATTATATATCCACCTGTCAGTCATTACTTCATCGTCACCTGGATAGTGCCTCTATTTCTGGTCAGTTCCTCTTACATGGATAAGGAATTATAATGTTTTCAATGCCTGCAGTGTAAGAACAAAAATTGTTTTGTTGGGGAAAAGGCAGAAATTAACTTGAGAGACTTTTCGAAGTATTTAGATTTGACAATATCATCGTTTTCATTTACCAATCAAGTTAAAGTTAATCCTACAACAATCAAGCATCATTTTCCTAAAAATCTTAACATCGTTTTAAATTGATATGAACAGTTGAACTTTTTTTTCATATGCCAAATTATGAGGCTTGACATATATCCTCTTGTAAATGTATTGTTACATGTACTTGTACTCTGATTCAAAGGATGTGCTGGCAATACAATCTCCATAAGGAATGATGTGATTTCAGAACAATTTCTCTTCAACTTCCTGTTTAATGAATACTTAAAGCAGGTTATCATTAGTGAGCAATAGCTCCCAGTTCTACTTGTCAATAAGTCAATGTAATCATGTCAAAAATATTTGTGCTATTTAGAGAACCGTTTTGTTTACATACATGTACCATACCCAAAATGTAATGTCATATATAAAGTTTAAATTTATCAATGCATTTATTAATTCCTGTTCTGAACAAGTAAAAGACAAACCTAACAGAAAAGATAAAAAAACTTTTGTTTGAATGAAGTCACAGTCCTATTACTCTTATCTTTAAAATAATCTTTATATGCTCTATTTGCAGCACACACAAATAAATTAGGAACCTCATTTTTTTCCTAAGAAATACAAAATTTATTTACTGATGATTTTTTAAAATGTCAAGACAAAATGAATTATGATCACTTCTATAGTTATCAGGTTCTCACTAAGGCAAGTCGACGAGTCCTGAACTCCTGAAAATCTGTTTCGACTCATTTTGAAAACTGGTGAGTCCAAAGATGCATCAAGATTGTAAAATGTTGCATCAACTGAGCACACATATCATAATTCTAAGACAAAAGTCTAAAAATAATCTTAATTTGATGTCATTTCCTTGCTCTTTTTTGTCATAGAGACTGAAATAGTAAATTATATAGCAAAAAAAATTCTTCTTCTCACTGTTGGACTCGCCATGACCAAAAAGGACGAGTCCCTGGACTCACTTCCAAAAATCCTTAGTGAGAACCCTGAGTTCTTCCTGACAAGTAAAGATGAATGTGTTTGCTGACATGACTCGATGTAGGGAAACATCTTTTATGTACCTAACTTATCTTTTTTAAAAACAACTTTTTAATTTCAGAAAGAGAAAACTGGGACAGAATTTCTAGTATGAAAAATGCTCAGGACCAAGATATTAATGGAGGTATGAATGGCATGCATGACGACCAGGACGACCAAGATGAATCAGAAATACACACACCAGAAATCCAGACCCAAAACCACACCAGAAAAAACAGTGAAATGCTTTATGATAATATAGAGCATCCAGTTAATGGTGAAACAGTGACAGATGATAAAGTGCCCTCTAGTGACAGACTTACAAGTGAGAGTGAAAGTGAAGAGGAGTTTTGTGACACATCAGATCAACCATCACCGGTATATTTCTTATCAAATTTACAATGTATTACTAGGGTGAAAAGAAAAATGTCTTCAATTGCCTTCTTAACTTTTTATTTAAACCTTAGCTCAAAGTTTTATACTCACAGTCTTTACAGGTTTCTAAAAGAATCTTTTTGTCATTCAAAATCTATATTTATTAAATAATTCCACCTTATATACTTTTAAGTATCCACATTTTTGTCTCTCCTTGACGGAGTCAAGAAGCGAGACATGTGTATGCTTTTTCCGGCGTCAGTGGCGTCAACAATGTATTAGTTTGTGATTAGGTCTAGTTCATGGTGAACCACTAGTGGTAGGTCAATGATATTTGGTATGCAGTTGTATTAGCATTGGCACATCTCATTACCATGGAGATTATTTGGCCCCGCCCCCTCATTCATGGTCTATTGACCATGAAACTTTTGCTTAGTTTTTCATTTATTAGTTTGTGATTAGGTCAGTTTATGGGGAACCACTAGTGGTAGGTCAATGATATTTGGTATGCAGTTGTATAAGTATTGGCATATCTCATTTCCATGGAGATTATTTGGCCCCGCCCCCTCATTCATGGTCTATTGACCATAGAACTTTTGCTTAGTTTTCATGTATTATTTTGTGATTAGGTCAGTTTAAGGGGAACCGTTAGTGGTAGGTCAATGATAATTGGTATGCAGTTGTATAAGCATTAGCACATCTCATTTCCATGGAGAATATTTGGTCCTTACCCCTCAGTCATGGTCCATTGACTTTGAAACTTTTGCTTAGTTTACATGTATTAGTTTGTGATTAGGTCAGTTTAAGATGAACCACTAATGTTAAGTCAATGATATTCGGTATGCAAATGTATTGGCATTTGCAAGTTTCATTTCTATGGAGATTATATAACCTCACCCCCTAATTATGGTTCATTGACTTTGAAACTTTTACATAGTTTACAAGTTAATGTTTGTGTTTAGGTTTGTTTAAAGGGAACGACTTATGAAAAGTCAATGGTACTTGGTTTGCAGTTGTATTAGCATTGGCACATCTCATTTCCATGGAGATTGTTTAGCCCTTTACCTTCCGTCATGGTTCATTGACTTTGAATATTTGCATAACTTACATGATAAAGTATTGCTATTTTAATGTCAACATTTGCATTATCAAAATAACAAATAGGCGAGACATATCTCTGTGTTAACAGTTTATGATTGTTTGATGTATAGCGTATTTTTCATGTATTTTTTATGTCCCACCTACAATAGTAGTAGGGGCATTATGTTTTCTGGTCTGTGTGTCCGTCTGTCTCGCTTCAGATTAAAGTTTTTTGTCAAGGTAGTTTTTGATGAAGTTGAAGTCCAATCAACTTGAAACTTAGTACACATGTTCCCTATGATATGATCTTTCTAATTTTAATGCCAAATTAGAGTTTTGAGATTTGACCCCAATTTCACAGTCCACTGAATATAGAAAATGATATTGCGAGTGGGGCATCCATGTACTATGGACACATTCTTGTGTTTAATCAATCAGATGAATTTTGATCATATTTCACAATAGCCAGGATATATGCATAAAGATATGTCTTTTTTACCCTCTCTACCCAGAGATATTTGCATGAATAAATACATTACTATAAATTTATTACAGGAAGAGTTGTCAAGAAAGGCTTCTAAAGACCAACAGATGTCAACACCATTAAAAGGAAATTTACAAAATAATAAACAGAAATATGTTCATTTTAGTGCAAATCCATCATTACGAACTGATATTGAAGTTGACCAACAGACACTGTCACCAGTTCCAAATCGCTTACATCGAGATAATTTGTCAATGTCACAGAACTTTCCTTTTGGATTAAATTTTCAACAGAGGTCCCAGCATGATAGTTTAATTGTTCATGGACCATCGGAAGATTCATTAAATGTTACAGGGCTAAGTGAAATTGGTAGTGAGAATTCAAATTCATCTGCACAATCAAATAGTTTAACCAAGTCTGAAGTGTTAATGGAAGAACATTTGAGTTCAGAAAATATAAGGACTTGTGGTGGGGGTCAGATTTCCCCACCGGGTGGAAGTTCTAGTGGAAAACTACCTAGTCAGGGATCATATAGCTCACAGGGTTACAGACCAGGTACTGTTTTTCACACAAATTTATTGGGAAAAAGCACATTGAAATATATACAATGGATATTTTTCTGTAAACATAAGATGGTGTTCCCTATTAGTCATGCATGATTTATCTAAATTAACAGGATTAAATCTGAAATGAAATTTCATGAAGTAAACAAAGGCTATCACTATAAACTATTAATGACTATACTTTTGTTTATATATTTTGATTAGGAGGAAAAGATTTTAACTAAAAGATTATTTTAATTTGAAAAAGAGATTAGACTTGTTCTTTTTCGAAATACAATTTTACATAGTTTTACCAATGATTTAGGAAACTGACAACATGTACATGTGTTAGAAAAAAGTGCTGAATTTCTCCTTTTTGTGAAATTTTGATATATGACTAGTACTAAAGAATTCTGATCGAGCAAAATTTTAAATGAAATTAACAGCAAACCAAGTTATTTTAAAGATTTGATTAGTTGCTCATTTGACAAGGAAATTGTAAAATTTGCATGCTTGATGACAAACCTAAATGTCATTATCAACAAATCTTCTTTAAATTTTGAATATAAAACTTTATTAACATAAATTGAACATGAATTTTTTTTTAGAAAAAAAATATTTATAGCTATTTTACTTTGGCTAATATTTGAGTGACATACATGTACTGATTTTAAATTGTACAACTGAAAAAGCCATTAAATTTTTGTTATTTTAAATGATGTATCAAACAAAAGAAATGAAGTTAAAAATTAAAGTGTGTTGATTTCAGTTGAAGGTTATGGGTATTATGATGGATTTCCTATGGAGGGAGGACAGGGAGGTGAAGGAGGAGGCGGTAGAGACCCTCAACATCCACCACAGATGTATGGATCAGTCAATGAACAGATTGCTATTACATTAATGAGACTTCAGCAAGATATGCACACAGTATTACAAAGGCTAGACAGTTTAGAGGCTGTCTCTAGGCAACAGGTAAATATATATTTTCTCCCAAAAACATTTTGGGAGATATATATTACCAGTAAGTTTCTTCTCTGTCCATTTCCTTTGCCCAGTGGCTTTTTTGTTCATCCAAGACAAATGGTTTGCAAATAGTTCACTTTAACCAAATATTCTTCTATGAAACAATAGTCAGGTTTGTCTATACTCATGATTGTTGCTTCTCTTTGTCATCAATTCTATAGACTATGAAACAAAAGTCAGGTTTGTCTATACTCATGATTGTTGCTTCTCTTTGTCATCAATTCTATAGACTATGAAACAAAAGTCAGGTTTGTCTATACTCATGATTGTCTATACTCATGATTGTTGCTTCTCTTTGTCATCAATTCTATAGACTATGAAACAAAAGTCAGGTTTGTCTATACTCATGATTGTTGCTTCTCTTTGTCATCAATTCTATAGACTATGAAACAAAAGTCAGGTTTGTCTATACTCATGATTGTTGCTTCTCTTTGTCATCAATTCTATAGACTTTGAAACAAAAGTCAGGTTTGTCTATACTCATGATTGTTGCTTCTCTTTGTCATTTGTGTCCTTGTAAAAGATAGTCAGCACAAGGATTTCCAAAGAGATTTTTTTTGGCTTTGAAAAAAATTGCTAAATTTCTAAAGAAATAAAAATTCTACTAGTATATATTTATTTCCTATATGTAGACTTTGTTGAATTTGGGATGCTTCTATTGGTTACCAACATTTTCCTTATCCTTTAATGGATTTTAGATTATTTATTTATGGGATGGTACTTTTAAAATCTTTGTTTGAACATGAATAAAATAAAAATATCAGTTCAACTGTAATCAATTGAAAAACCCAGCAGAATTCACTTGACTATAATAATAAAAAAAACATTTAAGTGTGTCATTACAGTTTTTAGTTCCCTACCCACGAAGTCGAAGGGGGCTTTAGGTTTGCACTCCGTCCATCTGTCCGTCTGTCCATCTGTCCGTCTGTCCATCCGTCAGTCCGGCAAATCAGCTTTCCACACTTTGTTTCTTCGTTCTTGAAGATATTGATTTGATATTTGGTATGTAGTTTTATCATGACAAGTTATAGATCATGTTCGAATTTTGTTCTGGTCTGATGATTTAGTCCAGAGTTATGGACCATAACTCTAGACCATATATAATGTTAGAGTACTATGCTAAACCATATTTCTGTACAAAGGGAGATAACTCATTTTTTTAAAGACATTCTTTGTTAAATTATTTGAAGATTTTTTTGGCAGGTTAGTTTGTTACTAAGTATAAACTAATTTTCTGAATGCTATATATATAAAAAAAAAATTATGAAGAGAAATCCTTTAATTAGATGATAATCTATTTTTATAAATGTATATATTTCAATACATTACATTGTGTAGATAAAAGTTGTTGACATTTTATATATAAGTTACAAATCTTTATTAGTTTGTGACAAATGAAAGAAAAAATATTTAAAACTATTAATTATATTTGATTATAATTTGAAAAAAGATATACACTGTATTACATCATATCTAATTTTAGAGAACTATTAATCATATCTAATGTTTTTTTCACTCATATAATCAGTTTTCCACACTGTTTTTAGTCATGCTTGAAGATATTGACATGATATTTACTTTTTGTTTACACCATGACAAGTTATAGAACAAGTTAGCATTTTGTTCCAGTAAAATGAATTTTTACCCGGTAGGGGACTATGTATTGCCATGCAATACTCTCAGAATGCTTGTTATTTCTTATTTCAGAGAAAAACTGATCAAAGAAATTCAATATTTGTAAGTATATATTCATTATGAATTGTCTTTTGTTTTTTTCAGTAGTCCTCAGATTGATTGAAAATAAATCAGCTTAGCAATTTTGTTGGTATCAGGGATTCTCCAGAACTTATGGATGGATGATTCAGTTTCAGAACTAGTAATATGATGATGCTTCTTTTACTAAAAGAGAATTGAAAGCATCAGGGGATTGAACATTTTTTGTTGTATTGTAATTTCAGTTAAAACATCTCAAGCAATATTTCAATTTAGTTTCACTGTTGTCTTTTTCATTTCATCTATATATTTCTTTTTAAAGTAGAAATTGAGATTAATTTAGAGAGTCCAGTCCTCTTTGATTGTATTATGGTGCAGCAATTATAGGAAAAATCTGTAATATTCTCCCATGGAGAAGCCATTAGTCAAAAATAATGCAATGTAATGTATGTCTTTTTATAATAAACAAAGTGTAATGTAAACAATCTTTTACAGATGTCCAGCTGGTGGCCTTTCCCCAACTTAACAGGGAAGACATTTTTGTTTGTTGTTATCTGGCCTATGTTTGTATACTGGTTAATGTCAAGAAGGAGAAGAAGGTTTGTTTTGAAAATAATCGCATTAGGATAATTGCAATCATAAGCTTAAAAACAGCTATTAAAAATCTAGGGTCATTAATAGCTTTAACAGGTTTAAAAATCTGCAAATAATAGTTTATTTATGTGAAAGTTTTTTTTACTAATTTTTATTATTGATTTCATTTAACTCTGACAAAAGAGGAGATAAAAGTATAAAGTTTGTTTTTTTTTTAAAGAGAAGATGTTACAATTTTAGATGTTTTTCATTTTCTGATCGAAAGACATTTATTAACGTAAAGTCATAACAATGTATGAATATAGACTTCTTGCATGCATGGAATTAACAGCTCATATTTTATTTTTGTTTCAATTTTTGTACTCTAAATAGTCTTTTCTTTTTTTTCAGGATAAATTAAGAATTGCATAGTTTGAGAGAATATTGTCAGCTCAAAAAATGGACCAGGAAGAAAGAACAAGAAAAGTGTACATTGTCTACATTACAAAATTATTTATCACTTGTCAAGATTGAGAAACTTTATACCATTTTGATGATGTTTAATATTTCTAATATTGACAAATTTTCAGATAATTATATAAGTAGCTGTTAGAAGTCAAATGAAAAATTTTATGATTGAATACTTTAAACCAAATATTTTCAGGGAATTCTTTCGCATTTGGTCCTTTCACAACCAAATTTGCGTTGATTTATTTCTTGATTGTCTATCTTTGTTGATGTATTACTGTGCTTATTCAGTGGGCTTTGGGGTATCACAATAGCAATGGCTAAAACAGTTTACAGATTGCAGTTTGAATTCTTCTCCACTGGTAAAATATTTTAACAAATTGCTTCAGTAAGGTTGTTAGTTTGAAATGAGTGCAGTGATATAAAAAGTAATACATACCATCCAGCTCTGTTAGTTGATGACTGTGTCAGGAATTTCAAACAAAATAATAACTTACTAATAGTATAATATGAGTCACTGATTTAAAAAGGTATAATTTTGACATGAAAACTTCTATTCTTAATAAATTTTATAAATAAATAGTTCAAAACATTGTTTTGTAGGTCAATAAATTGTATATTTCTGTTTTCTAACAGCAAGTTAGTTTGTAATTGTAATTTGGATATTTTTTTCTAAAGCAATCACTAATCTGCTAGTATTAAAGAGAAATAATTTACATTACTGTAAAATCAGCAAAATTTAATGTTCTGTCAAATATCAACTTCCTTCTTTTTATAAGTAATTTGTTTGTAACATTATTTCCATGATTATTAAACTATTATCATCTGTTCTTAAAAGAACACTTTTATTTTTTTTCAAGATGATGTTTTAATTTTACAAAAAAACGCTAAAACATATTACTGAACACATTCAAAGTTCTATAAATCATACAGATTCCACTGTAAATTAAGTAGGTATCATTGGTGAGCCCAGTAGTCAGCAACTCTGTGTTGACATGAATTTTCATTGATATGGTCAGAATTATAGATTAACTGTTTTGCAAACTTTGAATTGTTCAAAGTACTAATGATTTTCTACCACCAAGGATTAGATTACTTATAAGCTATATTTGGCAAAAACCTTTTGGAATTTTGTGTCCTCAATGCTCTTCAACTTCATACTAATTTGGCATTTCAATTTTTTTTTTGAGTCGTATTGATGAATCATTTGTAGGCAAAACATAAGCCTGGTATCTTTGATTAAATTTTTAATATACAATGACTCAATAAAAATTATTTCCCTTTAATGCCAGCAGATCAGAAATTCTTATAGAAAATGTTATCCAAATCACAATTACACAATAACTTCCTCTTAGAAAACAAAGCTATAAATTATCGACCTACAAAACAATGTTTTGAACTATTTATTCATAAAATTTATTTAGGATAGACGTTTTCATGTCAAAGTTAGACCTTTTTAAACCAGTGACTCATATTTTAGTAAATCATTATTTTGTTTGGAATTTATGACAAAGACAATAACTAACTGAATTTGGATGGTAAGGATAACTTTGAATTCACTGCACACACTTCATACTTACTACCTTCACTGAAGAAATTTCTTTAAATATTTTACCAGTTGATCAGTTTGTTGGAGAAGAATTCAAACTGCAATTTGGTAAACTGTTTATGCTATTGTGATACCCCAAAGCCTACTGAATAAGCACAGTAAGATAAAAGATGATCCACATTTGACACATCCAGGACAATCATTTTCACATTAATTTTGGCCTTGCAAAAGTCGTGTGAATCAATTGCTGGCTAACAATAGTTGGTTTTATACAGTTATACTAAGCATTTGATAAAAAACCTAAATTTCAGAGATGTTAGTTGTGTTTTTTTGTTTCGGCTTGTATGGAGAAAATTTGTATTAATTTGGATGGCATTTTGAAATGGTTGTGTTTACAAATACTTTATAGTAGATGATTGTACCTTGATTTTATTACTTATGATGTTAATATGCATCAATTTTGAAAGTTTCAATTATATTACAAGCATTTAAATTACAATGTCATAAGTCAGTGAGGTTTAGATATACATGTAGATGTGTAGTATACAATTTATGCATAAATCAATTTTATTAAATGACTGAAAATGGTCACGGGTAAGTTAAAGAAGATTATTTTCTGAATAGCCTTAATTATAGTATTTGTATACATCAAGGAGATACTAGGACAGCAGTGATTTGCTTCTTACAGACATTAATCTGTAACACAATTCTGGACCTAAAAAGAGACCCTAGTTTTATAGAAAATAATTTGGAAATCATGTGGATTTTTCATATACATTGCCCATACCTGCCAACTTTTCAAAATCTCCATTGGGGGGGGGGGGGGGGGGGGGTTTAAGCACAAGAGGACCTAATGCATACCTATTCATTTCATTAGTTTACTTAATTAGAACATCTATGGTTTTAAATGTCAGGTCAACACCTCTAATGGGGGATATCCCCCTTAAAACAGGAAAGTTGACAGGTCTGAATGCATATCATAACAAGCTTATTGCGATGTGAACAATGTTAATTCCTCCAAGAATTATTGGAGTTAAAAAGGTCATTGATTATTCGAATGTGTTCATTTTTACAAGTACAATCATAACCATAGTACATGATGAGTGTATATTGTATGTATGTTTATGAATGAAATTTTTAAATTATTTTGTTTTAATTGTAAAGTGAATAATTCTAGTGAAGAATACATGTATATCAGAAATTGAGAAATATAAATAGAAGATTAAAAGAAATAAATATAAAGATGGGGATCTTGTCTTTTTTATGCATGTCCAAAGAATAAGTAAATTTTGGTCATATTTGAGAAATTTTGAAAAAACAAATTTTAGGCCATTAAATCCAAAAAAGATGTTCATGTGGATCAACTATTTTCCCAAAGTCAGATTTTGAAATGTAACCATAATTAAATGGAACAGTACTTTAATTTGTTTATTTTTCAATTTTTCAATTTACTCTAAGGTCTTTGCTGATTTGCTTTAGTTCACACACACAGTAGGATCAAGATGACTCGTAGTATCAGCTTTGTCATTTACCTGAACCTCTACAAATGTTCTGATGGCTTTATACAACATACAACCACAATTTTTTTTATAGTTAAATTTGATGTTATCTTTAATGTATTTTTACCTATAATCATGTAATAAATAGAGAATATCATATGGCTTTTTCAATATCACATCCGTATCAACCCGAGACACCAATATAATCCCAAGAGCTCTGCTCGAGGGATTATATTGGTTGAGGGTTGATACAGTGTGATATTGAAAAAGCGATATCATATACACTTTATTATATACATATACCTCACGTAGATGTTTTTTTTATGTGACATGACGTCATACAGATAAGAAGGATTGAAATGACGTCATACTGATTATAGGTTTGACATGACGTCATACAGATTAGGGGTTTGATAAAACCTTTGCAACAGTTACTGCAATCGATGATGTGACGTCATACAGATTAAAGGTGTGATAAAGCCTATGCAACCGTGCTGATATCGATATCATCACGGGTGGCTGATACAGCACGGTTGCATATGATTGTAATACATACAATTTATCTGTATTTACTACTTAGTATATAATAAAGCATGTAGATACATCTGTGAAGATAGTTGCAAATTGTCTTCAGATTTATTTAATTTAGATAATGAAATTAGATTTTTAGATCACTGTTATATAAAACCAAATATTAGGAAGTCAAGTGGAACCAGGTTGTGACAGTTCCATGAATAAAAAGTATGATTGAAATGGCTGTGTGGTTTTAGAATGGAAGAGATGACTGTTCATTTTGTATTTAGAACCAATTTTTATTTTAATGAATCTGTGATATTTTTATTGATTTATTTTAAACAAAATAAATGAAAATTTATTGTTCTAAATGTGTTTAACTTATTTTGTCTATCCTATGAAATCTGTCTGCTACACCGTTTAACAAGTACCTGGTTTATATATAGTCATACTTTGCACCTTAATCATCTGGCAAATTTTACTTTGAGTACAGACCCTATTATTATTATCACTTAAACTTTATAACAACACATAAATTTTGAAGAAAAATATATGGATTTGAAATGATTTTAAAACGAATTTAAGAACGTTTTTCAGCAATTTTATTTCATGTGCTTTCTATACAAATGTTCACCTATTTTGAAAGAATTTATTCTGTAATGTTTGAAAGAAAAAAAGAGATAAATGCATTATTTTTTCGATATTAATTTATAGTTCAACAATCCAAATTTGTATACAAAATTAAAACAAAATCTGTGACATACTGTACCTTGACCTTTAAGAAAAGTTGTGTTGAATCAAGTAAGAAAATGCAATGGAGCAATAAAAAGGTATAAGCCGGTGAAAGTCATACAAATGTGATATTCAAATATCTGGATATTCTCCATTTATTGTTGCCTGCGACAAAGTCGCAGTATGTGATACATAGGGATTACTATACGACAGCGGCAATGTAAACTATTAGTACATGTATAAATCTTTATATTTCAGAAGGTAGAAGATCTGCATGCTTCATACCTAGTATGCAGATACCTTATGTTACGAAGTTTCTGTCTGTCATATGCACATTGACCTTGACCTCATTTTATGAATCAGTGATCAAGGTTAAAGTTAGGTGATTAGGTCTGTTTCTCATATACTATAAGCAGTAGGTCAATTATATTTGGTATATGTGGAATGATTGTAAGGTGTACATGTCTGTTTGACAGGATTTATCTAACCTTGACCTCATTGTCATGGATCTTTAAAAATGTTAAGTTAATGTGATACTTGTAGTACAACTTCAACATAAAATCAATGGTCAGAATAGCAGGCGAGACATTTCAGCATGTGCACTCTTGTTGTTATAATAAGAATCATGAAATTTTTTTTCAGATTTCTCGTTGTTTTCACCATTTTTGTCTTGCTGGGGACGAAAGTTGCGGAAAGTGAGACAAAGGGATTGCTTTTCCGGCGACGGCGTCAACAATTGTTAAGTTTTCTGCTTAGGTTAGTTTGATAGGAACTACTTGTGATAGATCATTGATATTTTGTATGAAGATGCATTACTATCAGTACATTTCAGGTTGACGACAATTTTGAGGCCCTGCCCCATAGGCCACAGTCCAATGACTTTGAATTAATTAGCAATTTTAAATGTTAAGTTTTCTGTTTAAGCTAAGTTGATAGGAAATTCTTGTGATAGATCAATGATATTTTGTTTGAAGCTGCATTACT